TTTCTGAGTTGGTTTTTAAATCCAAGTTCAATAGACTCAAGGTCATATTTTGATTCCTGTGATTTTGATTTCAACTTCTTTAGCTTTATTTGAACTTGCATGTGAGTAGTTAATGGTCTTTTATGCAATCCTCACCTGACCTTGTTTTCACTGCTCATACTGAACTTTTCTAATGATTCCTGCTGCAGATGTAATCAATCTGATTCTTGTGCATCCCATCAGGTGAAATCCATGAGTATAGTCTGTGTTAAGTAGAACATATCTAATCTCATACAACTGGAGGCAATATAAAGTAGAATCAGCTGATAGCCACTGCGTTTTTTCCATACACTCATATTTTTGTTGTTGTTGTTAGATGCTGTCACCCTGATAATGTCTTATAGCAACACTATGAATAGCAAGTTTGTACCCTATCCTTTTCCATGTCATTCTCACAGCCCCTCATACTCTCAAGCCCATTGCTACAGTCACTGTGTCCCTTCACCTGGTTGAGAATCTTTCCCCCTTTTGATGTCCTTTTACCTTTTCATGAATCCTGTCCCTCTGCAAGGAATAACCTCTCTTAGCAACATGAGACAAACTTCATCATTGCTTAGAAGGAGTCCTCTAGCTACACCATCTTCAAGACATATCTGTTTATTCTTTTAATAATCTATGGGACATTCGGCACACATATATTTGCAGCAATATGTAAAAAATGATTTTAATAGTAGAGTCTATAAAAACACCTCGTGAGGAACAGGAGAGAGATTGGTAAACAGATACACAAAGTTTGTGTGCTTTGAGTAAAAATATGGTATATTGATTCCACACTTTCTATAGGTGCAATTCTAGCACAAAGATTGCATTCTCCTTGTGAATGCTCCTTCTTCCTCTTCAGATTGTTCTTCTCCTATTAATACCCAAGCCTTGGATAAAACTCTATATAAACATAGACTTTATGGTACTGCTATTCTTCAAAGCTCTTTGATTGAGACGCCGTACTTACTGCAAGAGGATATCCCTTAACGGGACTGTTAAGATCTACCCCCACCTACCTTTTTCTCTTCCCTGTGTTTTTCCACACTGTGTTCTTTCCTGAGGGTTCCTTATGCTACCTGCCTTTGAAAGACTTCCTCCTCTGAGATATTGTTTCCTGCTTGGTTTTCAATACATTAATTCTAATAAATATCTTGATATGTAATGCTATCTCATGGACCTAATTCTCTCCTAATCTGCCCAGTTCCCTTGAACTCACAATGACAGCTGAGTCATCTAACATTTCAGATTTTGCAAATTTTCATTTAAATATAATAACGGGTACTATTTATTTGCATTATGAGTCAGTTAAGTTTGTGGTTAGAGATAATCAATACAAATGATCAACTTCAAATATTTGCAAAGAAACTATGAGTCTGAAGAACTTTTGTTACAAAGGAAATATTCATGTAATGCAAATTATTTTCTACTCTTTTTGAAGGGAACAGAAGTATCTTTTTTCTCTTTTAGTCATCATAGAACTATTACCATGTGTTAGAAAAAGAATATAAGGATCAAATATGATTTCTTTATCTCCGAAGTCCTTTGTAATCCTGAGAGTATGCAGAATTTTACATATAATCATTAATATTGACAAAAGAAGCAATCATTAATATTCACAAAAGAAATGCTAAATTGACAGGGATTTCAAGGATTTTTGAGAAGGCTACAATTGAGAATAGTTTACGAATCCTTCAAGCTCCATAAAAAAGAACAGGGTTTAGAGGCCTGATTTAAAATCTACTTAAAGATCAAATGTAGTCAGTGTGCAATCAATCAAAGTGACCATAACAAATAGGGCAAACCCCTGAGTTAAACCTGTGAGTTACTATTTGGGAATAATTCTATGTTCATGTGTCATTTTGAGAGCTAGCACTCATCCTATATCTAGGTAGGCATATGGACCATGGGCTGTGAAGATATCATAAAATTGTAAATTCCAAAGAGGAAAGAAACAAAAGGAAATGGCAAAACTACCTAGTGTAAGGAAATATGTAAACATAATATGCAGCAGAATCCTTATATTTGTGTAAGTCTCTCAGCTCTCTCAGGGCTATTGTAACAACACAACAACGGTACTATCATAGTAAGCTCTGGTGGCCTAATGGTAAGAAGCTGCACTGAAATCCTAAAGGCACACAGTGCAAATCCACCAGCTTCTTCCTGGGAGAAAGGTGGGAAATTTCCTCCTGTTCAATTAACTGACTCTGAAAACTCTTTGGAGGGTCAGTTATAGTTTGGTTCCGACTCATAGTACACAACAACAATCCATCATATATGCTATTTCATATGGTTCAAGCTCAGCACTCTTGAGATACTTTATTACTAATGTTTTCCTAAAATGTAATTTTTGTCTTATATCATGGTCTTTAAATGAAGCCTATGACTCAAGAGTACCAATGAATTAGCAAGAGCACTTTGTAGCCTTTGCTCCAGTAGAAGAAATCTCTTTAGTTTATTTCTCCTTACTTTTCTACTAGTTCTTTCTCCCTTTGTTACTGTTGTTGATATGTGCCATTGAGTCAGAACCGGCTCATAGATGACCCTCCAGTGATTTTTTTTTTAGAGGTTGTAAATTGCTAATGAGGAGATTGCCCATCTTTGTCCGAAAGAGCAGCTGGTGAATTCAAACTGCCTGTCTTTGGGTTAGCAGCACAATTCCTTACCCTCTAGACAACCAGTATGTCCTAAAAACCTGTACAGTCTGATGTTTTAGGCTCCATGACCTTCGATTTTTCAGTTAAGTTCATCTGATTAAGACAGGCTTTCCAGTCATCTGGAGAACCAGAGTAAGGGGAAGTCAGGACACTTACTCCCATGCTTCCTCTTTCAACATAAGGGTGACCTTGAAATGACTGTTCCTCCTCACAAAAGGCCATTGCTCCTGTCAGATGATACTCTTCTGACCATCCTCTGTGTTCCTTGCTTGGGCAACCACTGCTCTGTCCCTTCAGGTTTTAAAATTCAGAGAATATATAGAAAAGATTGAACATGTAAATCTGACCATTTCTTTTTTAGAAAGGTCTGATTACACCTCCAAAACTATGACAGTCAACCACCCTTCAGGCTAGAACAAAATTCACATTATGGTTCAACACCAGTCAAATAAACAAGCCTATGAAGTGACCAATGAAAACAGGGAAGCATTTACTCCTTACAATGTTGTTGTTGTGTACCATCAAGTTGGAACCAACCCATAGCTAACCCTTGTCAGTTAATCGCTCAGGAGAAGATTCCCCATTCTTCTCCCCACAGAGCAGCCAGTGGAATCAAACTGTGTGCCTCTGTGATTGCAGCACAACTTCTTACCAAGAGGCCACCAGAGCTCCCTTACTCTTTACAATAATAACCAGCCTTGAAAGGTGAGATAAAGCCCTGAAGACAGAGGAGGTAGAATAGAAGAACTAATGGAAATGAGAATTATAGGGAAGAAGTAGGGAAATATGATTGAATAAAAAACAGAATCCCTTGTAAACTTTCATTAAACGCACAATGAAAACTTTTTAAATGATTATTTCCTCAATTGTTTAATTTCTATATATGATGTCAACTTTAAAAAATATTAATTTTCTGAAAAATACATAATAATCTATATTGTTCATAGGGTTTTTTTTTAAATGAAGAAGTCTGATTAGCTTATTTAAATGAATATAGTGTTACTGTAACTTATAAGAAAAGGGTAAATAAACTGATGATTGATTTCTCTTTAAAAATTTTCCCTTTTATCTCTGAATACTAAAAAAAAAAAAGAAAACTTGCTCTCAAAAAATAAAGGCCATTTTTATCCTGGGAAGCAAAAATTGATAAATATATTGATAAAAGGAAATGCAATGTGCAAGAAAATTAGATAGGACATTATAATTAATGACATCAATTGTAATATTACAAAGCAAAAACAAAGATGTTATGAATGAATAAAAACTGACATGATTCATAAACTTTCACTCAAATAAAAAAATAATATACTTTTTAATTTAAACAAGATTTTAACAAAAGTTTATAGAGAACTTGGATTTTCATTCATTCATTGTTGCACGTTTTCCTCCCTACCCTCTCCCCAGTTAGCTTTTCTCCTTGAAAAAAAGTCTTTCACTGTTGCACAATTCCCCCCGCCCCAGTCCCCTTTGCTATGAAGCTCTTATTCTGGACTGTTGTCATGCAAAATTAATATATTTTCACAGGAGGAGATTGTCCCTCCTTCTCCAGAATCTGATGGATTCAAACCGTGCACCTCTGGGATTGCAGTGCAGGTTCTCACCATTATGCACAAAAATAATATATTTTTAAAAACTTAAATGATAAGGGAAATTTATAGTGTTAAAATGTGATATTTCTATAGTATATGTTTTCTTTATTCAACGTATCTTTAAAATAGCAAAGTATATGTTCTTATGTACTTAATGAAAACAATTATATTACATCTTAAAAATACCTTATCAGGTGTCTGTACATTCACATAGCACCATAAAATTGTGTCCTCCCAATATTTTGACTATTTACCATCTGTAGTTACTTATATCATCAAATATTTTACTTTTATATTGTGTTCTGTGAGGCAAGAAGAGATCTTGTGCTCAATGGAGTAGAAAGCTTCCTCTAAAAATCTGAAAATTATACTCCTTATATTTTAACTTTCAATGAAACTTACACATTTTAGCTTTTGAGTTAATTTTGTAGAAAATAAATGTTAAGCATCCTTAGATAATTTCTGAAAAGAAATGTAGGAAAGAAATTGCTTAGTGAAGACTTGTGTATTTTCCTCCCGACTCTCTTTGTGTCAGCTGCTTTATGTTCATGACGAAAACTGTTTTAGAGAACTCTTACTGCATGCTTTTTGTTTATTAATGTCATGGTAAACCACATGTATTCTTGACAAAGCAATTCTGAACAAGAAAGACTTCTTTGCTGGCTATCTTACTTCAGCTCACTTGTGTGTTTATTGATTGCCTCGGCTAATAAATGCTCTCTCCATTGTAATCTAGCTCCATCTCAGCAACCTCCACCCAGAGGACAAGTTCAAAATTCTTCAGTTATCAATCTTTCCTGGAGTCCACCTGATTCTCCAAATGCCCACTGGCTTTCTTACAGTTTATTCAGGGATGATTTTGAAATCTACACAACTGAAGATCAATACCCATACAGTGAGTTTATGGACTTGGGGATGGAAAGATATGATATTTTGACAACTGATACTTTAGGTTGTTTGGTTTTTTTATTTACATTGATGATGAATGTTGTTGTGGTTTTTTCTGTCAGCGTAATGTTTCAAGCACAGGGAGAATTACAAATATCACTAGTAATAAAAAATACACTAAAAATAAGATGCAGCTAATTCTCATCAAATTCTCAAATATTTGGAACACTTAATTCATCCTATTAAGTCTTGGTGAAGATGTATGAAGTTGGAATTTAAATAAACCCCTGGAGTATCTGTGGTACTGCACAGGTACAGCATTTCTAGGGCTAAAGAATATGGCAATCCTCACCTTTCCTCTTTACCATTTAACTCAATAAATCTACTCTAAGGGCTTTATTTCAAGTAAATAGGAATATATTTTAGAAAAAAAAATACATTACCATATGCCTGTGGAGTTCTAAGGAGTTCTGGTGGACTAGTGTTAAAAAGTTACACTGCCAACCCAGAGGCAGGCAGTTTGAGTCTACAGGGCTGTTTTGTGGGATAAAGACGAGTAGTCTCCTCCTGTGCAATTAATAACCTCTGAAAAGCTAACTCTGAAGAGTTAGCTATGGGTGAGATCCAACTTGACAGCACGCAACAACATGCTTATGTCATTTATAGTATTGAAGTATACCAGAAACAACCCCAAGGTTCAACAGTAGGAAAATATTTTAATATGTTGTGATAAATGGCATAAAGGAATCTTAGTAGGTTGGTAAAGAAACAACCTTGGTGGTGCATCAATTAAGCATTTAGTTACTAACCAATAGGTCACAGGTTTGAAACCAATAGTGTGGCTCTATGGAACAAAATAACTAATGATTCACTCCTATAACGATTACAGTCTGGAAAACTGTATGTGTCTCATCTACTTTTGTCACATTGTCTGGTTACTGAAATTGAAATTAAAATTGAAATTGACTGGACCTCACAGTAAAATGAGCATGGTGTAAAATTATATAATTTCTTTTTTAAAAACATGAAAAAAGTGAATAACAATGTGTAAAGCAGTAACTGATTATTAAAAATAATCAGTTAATATTTATAGTACAGTAACCTAAATATCTGAACACATAAAAATACTGAAATGTAATTTTCTATTTAAAAAAACATGAAAAATTTGAATAACAGTATGTAAAGCAATAGCAATATTAAAAATAATCACTAGCTATTTATAAAATAGTATCTTAAATTTTTGAATACACATAAACACTGAAAGTCTTACACCGAGCTATCTTTAGCTATAGTTTTCTTTGGATACAGTGATTAGAGAAACTTTACTAATTATTTCAAGTACAATAGATAAAGTATTTGCCAATGATTTCTACTATAATGGGTTCAAGCTTTAAATTCTTTGGTTAGAAACATGACTTTTTTAAAAAATTAACCAGTACTTAAAATTCAAATAAATAGTGTAACTGTACATGTAGAACACAAGATCAATTGAAGAGAGGAAGGAAACAACAAGCCTACCTTTACATCTGTAACATTTGTAAATTTTGTGAAAATTTTTAAGGAACTTGTGATAAACTAATGAGGTTTATTGTCTTAAAAATGGTTGACTCAAATATATTAGAGTCTTGAAAATGAAGCCATGTTTTATATTCTTCTAGTCCTACCTTCCTCTGAATCTTGCTCCCTCTCATATTTAAAAAAATATTATAATAGTAGTTTTAAATCAAGTATCTATTTTTTTTGCTACTTTTTAAATGCCTAATTTTCCAATTTAACATCCATAGTTAGGCAAAACACTGAGATTCTTCAAAAGGAATAGTTATGAGGATTTTAACATATTATTTTTATTTTTTACTTCAAGATAAATGTTTGAGGATGTTGTTTTAACATATTATTTTTAAACTTTTACCCAGCAAAGAGTTTATTATGTGTGTGTTAAATTAGGTTATATTTTGTACCTAATTCTACATGACTTGTATTGAGCTTATTGCTCCCATCATTCTTTCTTAACTCTAAATGTCTCTTTAATATTCCAAGTCTTCATGAAGTTAATGGAAACTCTGAACTTCATGTTGCAGATTGCAAAGGGAAATGAACATCTGTTTACATCTGCCATGTTGGCAGAGCATCCAAAAAACCTGCTACTAGAATGGTTATTTTCTTCCAAATATCAGCATGATCCAGGTGTCCTGAAACTTAAACTTTTGTGATGGAGGAAGAGAGAGAGTTATAAAAATATTGCAAGTGATTTTGAAAATGTCAGTACTACTGGTTGAATTATCTCCGATGTTGTAAGTTGGGAGTCACAATATTCTCATTACAGCTTGGTTCAATAGCAGAATTAAACTTTAAAACTATCAACTAAGCCCAGAGAGACGTGCTTTCCATATTGTGGTCTATTTTACACAATATTCTATGTGAATACCACATTCTTGCTTTTTTTTGCCCCACAATTAAGCTAACATTGCATGCAAATAACAATTTCTTGCACAATAAATGTATATTCATTCACTAATCAGACAGTTATATAATCTTATTACACAAGGTATTATTTCCTAAAGCCTTATTTTTCATAAAAAATGCCACTTTTGGCATTTTTTTACAATCACTATAATTAATGATGTGAAAATTATCTGCATGATGGCATTTGAGCAGTAAGAACAATTGGTTAATACTGTCAGAATTTTGTATCATTCTAATAATACCCTCATATTTATTACTCTTTTCCAGTGTGTGGATAGCGAGTGTAATATGAAAAGGAAACACTACTTATATTCAGCTGGATGAACACAAATCTTTGGGTTAAATAAAGGCATTTGGAATTATAGATGGAGAATCATTGAACTTTTCAAAGAAAATTAATAGTGTTGTCTACCATGAAAGTTTGATCATTTGGTAGAGACCATTATAGAGTTCTTTGCTAGAAAAAAAACTTTTTCTAGCTGCTTTAGTGCATTATGAGATTCTCTTTGAGTAGTTTCCAACTTAAAATAACAGCATGTCATCATTTATAAAGCTTGTCGACTGCTTTTTATTTACAATATCATGTTAAAAGTGGAATAATTCTAAAGGCCGGCAATAATTAACCTTTTAAAAATAAGTTAAGGTATACGCAATATTATTCCTAAATAAAATTTCGCTCACTTGTATTTTCATTTTCATTTAAAAGAGGAAAATAATGTAGAAGTCAAGCAAGCATGTTGGAAATCACACAAAATCAGCACCTAATATTAGCTCTGCTGTAACCTCAATCTGGTTAGCATATGGGGAAATATTTTATGTGTTAAAGGTGTGAAAAGAATGAATGTCAAAGAAAATACTATTCTTTTGTCAATATTGGGCTTTAGAGTTTAAGGTGTTAGTGTCATTAAACTATATACTCTTAGAACAAACATTGAAATAGATGTTAGGGTCAGGCAGATGGAAATTAAAAGTAAAATTCATCTTCATTACTAATAAAAGCCTGTCATGGATATTGGAGAGTACACCCACTCTCTTACAGATAGATGAGGAGAGAGAGAGAGAAAAAAATGTGTTAATCTGAACTTCTGTGTTATTTTAAAATTCTCTAACAGATGCATTGATATAGTGATTAGGATAAAGGGAGTAGGTCTATCAGAGACAATGAGGTTGGCACAAGATAGAGCTGCGTATAGGGCACTTGTACATGGGTCACTGAGTCTCAAGCGACTCTACAACACAAAACAACAACAGATAGTTCATTCTACATTTGAAATGGCTAAGTGAGGAAACAGGAAAAAAATTGTTGTTATTTTTCTGCAAATTGGTTGGAACTTACAGTGACCTCATGTACAGCAGAATAAAATGTTTCCGGGTCTTACACCAACTTTATGGTCTTGGTATATTTGAGTCCTTTCTTGTTAAGTGCACTGTGAAAGCCTTCCATTCTGGTAGTCTCCTCTTTAATCTGTCTGCCAATTTGTGTTGCACTATGGTGACGTGTATGTTGCCATGAAGATGGATATGACCAATATTCCAAATACTAGCACTTTACCTAGGGTAGCCAGGTTTCAGCTAAGCTACAAAATTGAGATAGATTAAGAAGAAAGAACAAAACAAACAAACAAACAAAAAACCAAAAAATCCAACACTTCGGAAACTAAGTTTTTGTTATAACTACATACCATTGAGTCAAGTAAAATTCATATAGACCAAATGAACTTGAATTGAATCCTGTCCTATAATATACCATCCTCATCACTTCTAACACACTTGAGTCCATACCTAAAGTCACCATGCCAATCCTTCTCACTGAGGGTTTTCCTATATTCAATAGTCCTCCATCTTTCCAAGCATGATTTCCCTTTCCAAGGAATAGCCTTACCTAACTGTATGTCCAAAGAATGAAAAATGAAACTTCACTATCTTTGCCTCCAGGGAGCACTCTGGCTGCACATTTTCCAAGACATACTAGTTTGTTCAATGGTATAGTCAGTACTCTTCCAACTCAAAAGTATCGATCCTTCCTCTGTTGAACTTATTCATGTCTATCTCTCTGATGTATAGCAAGTAATAGAGAAGATCAGGGCCTCATTCAGGTGCAACTTAGTCTTCAAATTAAAATAATTGTTTTTCACCATTTTGGAGAGGTCCTTTATAGTAGAGTTAGACAATGGAATGCTCTTCATTTACTGACTACTTATATCAAGGGTGTTAATAGTTATCTAAGCAAGACAAAATCATTGACAGATTCAATCCTTTTTCAATCTATTATAATGTTAGCTGTTGGTCATGTAGTGAGGACCTTTGTTTTCTTGATGTTGGAATAGAATGCATACCAAAGGCTATATTCCTTGATCTTCTACAGCAAGCATATAGATCATACAAAAAAATAATGTGTAATATATTGGAAAACTAGAAGATGACTATTTCCTCATATTACTGTTGCTTCTGTCATTTAGAAAAACTATCGTATTAAAGAACAATATTTCTTAGTGAACCTTGGTTTCATTTCTATATTTGTTATTCATTTATACTTTTCATTGT